TACCTTGTCCCAAATTTCTGATTCTTCCATTTGCAAATCATCATTTTTTAAAAGAGCAATCAAAGCATTCTCTTGAAGAGTGTTAAAATCATCAGAGTTAAAAATCATACTCGGATGTTTTACAATAATATCATTGCAAAATTTCTGTAAATTTTTGAAGTCTTCATTATTAAAGCTTATTTGATAAACTCGAGAAAAATTTAAACGAAGCCAAGAAGCATTATTTTCAATAAGATAAGATTGAATATGTTCAACTAATTCTGTAAACTTCAATTCATTTATAGCAATTAATAGGTCAAATACGGCTGAAGCTTCAGAGTTTTCCAAAGAAAATATGCCACTGTAGATGTACCTACAACATATTGTAAATAGCAATAATAAATTATAGTCTTATCTTTCTTGCAACACTCATAGTATCATCTAAAACTTACCTAATAATAATATTAAAGACTTTGGCAGAAAAATCGGGTATTTTAATTTCAATAACATTGTTTTTCTTGACCGCATTTTTTAATTTTTGACGGAAATACAATGAACGTTGATATAAGATTGCTGAATGTGCTTTGAAAAGTTGGATATTTGGTTGTTTACCAACTTCAATCACCACATTATAATCATACTCATTTTCAAGAAGTTGTGTAAAGTCTTGAGAAAGTTGGTCAAGAATTTTTATGTTCATTTTGCTATTCTGGCAGGTACTATACCGGCATGCATTTCTAATATACTGTAGTACACGTATGTATAGTAGTGTATGACAAAGAACTAAATGGGGACTTAATGGCGTGTAATACAAATCCTAAAAGAACTTTAGGGTTAGTTTTAGTGAACTCTAGGAAGAAGCTACAACTCTCATTGTGTAAAACTACATTTAAACACTAGTTTTTTTATTATCTTGCTAAGTCTTACCAAATATATGTCTTGAATAAAGTATCTTGTCTATAGTTTTTTTGTCGATTGCATAAAAATTCCTCGGTTGTCAGAGAAATGGGCAAAAAAATATTAACGTGTCATCGAAAAAGAATGCCCCTAGACATTATTTTGAGGCACACAATTTCTAGAAAGCTAAGAATTAGTTTGACGAATACAAAAATGATTCTTTTTAAGAGTTTTTTGTTTAATTCTCTGGAAAATGTATATCTCGAAATTAATATATCATGAGAGTCAATGAAAGAAAACCTGTCACTTAAATTATATAGATCTTTTACAGAACGTATTGCGAACTCAAAAACATAGTCAAAGTAACTAGAATGATTGATTGTTCATTTAATTATTAGTTCTTGTTCTAGTTTTTCAGGCTAAATGAAAGTTACATTCCTTTGTGTATTTTTAGAAATATGGGCTTTCTTTTAGCGATGCTCACACCTGCATGAATATAATTTTATATTAAAAAATAACTTTGATTGATATAAGATGGTTAAATTATATTTTAAAAGAGAATCTTTTATACCGAAGTATAATCTGCAGAATATGTTATTAGATCTCGTGCAGTGTCAAAAGGCGAGAATTCAATTGTCTCAAATAAAACTGCCTTTTATGTTTTAAATTTTCTTATAGAATTTTGCTTTATTCAATCCTGATCCTAACTGACCTAATTTTTAGTGCAATAAAGCTCTGAAGGATCCAATGAAGCTCTAAACGAACTCAATTGATAATAATTTATTGAATTCCATTAACTCCCATCACAAAACCCTAATTACACGATCTGATTAATCGCGCTTCGGTGACTGTTACCGTTAATAACGAGCGCACATATATACATGTGTGCCTAAATTATTTCTGGCTTGCCGTAAATAAAATTTGCCGAAAATGTTTTAGGCGCCTAAACCGTAAATAATATCGGCAGCCTAAAATATTTTCGGCAGCCTAAAATATTTCCGGCAGCCTAAAATATTTTCGGCAGCCTAAAATTTTTTCGGCAGCCTAAAATATTTTCGGCAGCCTAAAATATTTTCAGATGACGAAAATGGTTTAAAATATCATTCTTGCAAAGCAATTTAGATTATTGATTATTTTCAGCTACTACATTTTTTATGTATTATTAATTCATACCTACGTATGTATTTTTCTTTTTCATTACTTCAACTCTACATAATCCCTTTGCAGTTGTTATCATATGATAATTAATCAAGTATACCTGTTTACTACCATAGATAGTAATGCATATTTTTAGATTTTTGCCAAGGTACAAAACCCGTATTATTCTAAATTGCTTGCATGTAATTTATACATATTAATTAAAATCGGTTACGTATACTGATACGAGTTACTAATTATCAAGTTCTGAATTCCCACGCATTTTCAAACAACTGCATTGAATTTTTTTTTATCTAGAATAGTTTCTTTAAAATAAATCATTAAAACGCAAAAGAGATAATTTTATTTAAATGTAATAATCAGTATTTATATAATATATCATAAATAAATTTTTTACAATAAAAATAATATTTAAAATTCAATGCTACATAAATATAAAACTTATTTTGCATTATTTATAGTTGCGTTGATAACTTCATTAATATCATAATCAAGTTCACCCTCAGCTTCTATATCGTTATTATAATTTATTTCATTTGCTGGTTTTTGTGTAAAGATATTAAAATCTATTATTTCATTGGCATCCAAATTTTCACAATCTATAATTTCATCTAAATCATCTTCATCAGAAACATAATCTCCATCATATTCTTCAATATTATCATTGAACATATCATCTTCATATTCAATTGAATTCGAATAATTTTCCATTACTTGTTCAAACTCTGGTTCCGGAATATCATGTGTAAAATAATTTAGTTCATTTTGTGCATTGGTCATATAATATGTATGTAATTTTGCGATGTTTGATACTTTTTCTACAGTTAATCTATAAAAATATAAAGATGCGGCTTACTTTACCAATAATTATTCTACCAAAAGTTATTTAGCTATCATTATATATGGGTGATTATTTTTGAATCTATACCAGAAATGTTATGTCATATATATAAAATTGGATTGGGTTCAAAAATAACTACCCATATAAGTCATGTTAATATATAATTAATTATGTAATGTTTGCTAAATGAACTATTGGTAAAATAATTATCGATGAAGCAATGCAGATCCAAATACATATAAATAAATAATTAGATATATAATAAATTATTATATTATATATTAAATACCTGCTTCTTCTTTTTTGAGTAATCCAACTCAATACTGAAAAAATACGTTCACAACTAGCACTATGTGGCGTAATTGCTAGTAAGTGTAAAGCGAGTTTTTGCAAATAATGGTTATCTAATTTGCACCCATTCCACCAGGTTTGTGGTGATTCAATTTCTTCTACAAAACCAAAATTATATGGTTGTTCACACGCATCATATTGCTTAATTTGTGCTATTAATATATTTGCACTTGTTACCCCTCCTTTACCGATTTTTTTCCATATTTCAAGAGCAGTATACATAATTTGATGAAATACTGAATCTTTCATACCTTTTCCTCGATATTTTGGATGAAGGAAGTATGCTAAAAGGTAAATTTTTATATCGAATTCTTTCCATCGCTTGTTATAAAATTTAATACATTGTTTACGAAATTCTATATGTTCTGGCAAACTATTTTTTTCAAGTGCATTAATAGCAGTTGCCATTTGAATAAGGAATAAAAAAACATCAGCAGTTGTTGTAGATTTTGATTCGACCATTTTAACGGCATTTTTAGCTGGTAACAATATTTTGGCCAAAATTTCTGCATTTGTCCAAAATTGTCGATTTCGTACAAGCTTTCTTAAATCTAATGTTAAAGCAAGATTATCGTCCTCTAAAATCTAATTAATTATATACAATATAATTAAAAATTTTATAAATTAAATAATTATAATATAAGCTAATATTAAAACATATTACAGTATTAAATAATTACCTGTTTAATACAAACTTCTAGATTAAGAACTGATTGTACACAATCATATGCTGATGACCAACGTGAACAAACAGAACTTTTCAATCCACCTTTATTTATCATAAAACGAGTTATTTCATTACGTAAAATTGCTCCAGATTGATGAGATGCATAAAAATATGTTACAAAAGATTGACATTGTTGTAATATATTTTTTCCAAATGAAGTTTTACAAACAATATCGCTACAAATTAACTGAATATGGTGTGCGATGCATCGAATTGGTAAAATAGCTGGATATTTTGCTGAAATATATTGTTTGGCAAGTGTCATAGCAGAAGCGGCATCAGAAACTACAGCCCCAAATTTGTTAGCACCGATTTCAGTTAAAACCTTTTCAATTTCGTCAGCTGTAAAAATTGCAGTATGTGATTCACGGGAAAAATCTTTAATTGAATATACATATTGTTTTTTATTTGCAGTTATTATTATAAAAGCAAAATATGAGTAGCCACGATTACTTGTCCAGCCATCCAAAACTAGTAATAAATAAATATTAATTTATTAAAATATAATGTAATTAAAAAAAAAAGCTATTATAATCGAAATTGACACCCAATTTAAATTGCAATTTTAGTTAACTAAAATTGTACTAAACTAAAATTAGCTTCTGAAATTAAATTATCTTGCATATATTAGTTAACAATTTTAGTCAAGTATAACTTTAGTTAACTAAAATTACAGTTTGGTTACGGTATAGCTATTAATTATAAACATTACCTAATGTAAGATTTCTTTCAGTTAGAAGCTCTTTTTCTATAGCGACTGTAATTCGTGCTGTTTCAGAATTAAGCCAATCATTGCTTAAGGCTTTTCGATCAGGTGGTTTGTATGAAATACATAAATTTTTGCAAAAATCTAAAAAAAATGGATGTTCAACAATCTAAAAAGGAATTCCACAACATACAAACAGCCGTGTTAATGCTTTATGACACAATTCTTCTTGTCCAGAATCCATTTTATTTATAACTTGAAATTTAGTATCAATTCGTGGTTGTGCACCAGTAATAATATCAATTTCTGTTTTTCTTTTTTGATTAGGTACAGGGAATTTTCGTAAAAGTTCTTGTTTGATATTAAGTGGAACTTTTTTACAACTTAATGCCAAATGCGAATTCATATTCATATCAGATGCACGTGGATTTTGTTCATTACAGTATAAACATTCCCAACCTTTGTGACCATCGCCCTTATTATTAATTTCTTTAAAGTGGTTATTCCAAAGTATATTTTTTGGTCTACCTCTTTTTTTTTTATTTTTATTAGTATGGGTATCATTATCTGAATCTTCAATAATCTCTGATGTTGAATCAGAAATATTAGGTTCAGGATTTTCAATAATCGCTGATAATGAATCGGAAATATTAGGTTCAGGATTTTTAATAACCTCTGATGTTGAATTGGAAATGTTAGGTTCTGGATTTTCAATAACCTCTGATGTCGAATTAGAAATGTTAGGTTCAGAATTTTCCATTTTTTTTTAATAAAATAGAATTGTAAAGAGAAACTTTTAAAGGTCGTAAAAAAAATACTTATATATATATATATACAACAGGTTATACCAAAAGATTAATATACGATATTCTAAAGAACTTGTGATTTATATTTATTTAGAATTATTCTTTATATTTTACTCTTATATCTTTGAGAAAAAAGCTGTCGCCAATATGCGAATATATTCAAAAAGCACGAATTAGCTAAAAATTGTACAATTATTTCATGGGATCTATAATGGCTAATTATTTGGCATTATTCTTTATATTTTACCACTTTATCTTTGGGAAAAAAGCTGTCGTTGATGTATAAAAATATTCAAAAAATACCATGAATCGACTAAAAATTGTATGATAATATCATGGGATCTATAATGACTAATCAAATAGCACCATTTATTGGGCTCTGCACATACAATGTTGGTAAGTTTTCATATTATAACACTCAATTAAGAATGATAATCTTCATGTTTAAGTGAACTTTATTATTAAAGGCTCATTGCGTTATCTCTATAATAACATTAAACAGATTACCAACTTTCTTGTACTCCAAAAGTAGTAAGTGGAGGCATAATTCGGTAAGACATATCACAATTAGGTTGATCAACGATAAAGAAGTACGTACGTACGTACAATACATATTTAACACATGATGGTAAGAAATATTGGTCACATGCAGACGAAAATAATTAGAATAATTAGACCAGCCGAAATTATTTTCGGCAGCCGAAATCATTTACGGCAGCCGAAATCATTTACGGCAGCCGAAATCATTTTAGCGGCCGAAATTATTTACGGCAGCCGAAATTGTTTTCGGCATTTAGGCATTCGAGACAGTATGCCGAAAATATTAAAAATATAGGCATGCCGTAATGCCGTAAACCACCCCTAATTTAGGCACACATGTATACGCACATATAGCTGCAAAAAGGGGGAAATTGACAAATTTTTTAAAATTGATTTTTTTTACATGAATTAATTTTTTTGATTCCCCCTTTTTTGCAGCACTCAGCCCATATATGTATGGGTGCCGGTCAAAATCCTGACAAGCACAATCCCGACAGGTCATAATTCCGACAAAAAAATCCCGACAATTAAAAATCCCGACAATCAGAAGAAAATCTCAAATATGGGGTATGTTTAAAGTGAAGTAGACTCTTATAATTAACTTTGGGTTAGTTATGGTTGATGATATTTTTATCAGAATTTTTAATTGTCGGGATTTTTCGCTGTCGGATTTTTTGCTGTCGGGATTTTTGTGTTGAGATTTTTTTGTCGGAATTATGACCAATCGGGATTTCGCTTGTCAGGATTTTGACCTAA